CAAAAACTAGTTATGTGATCTCTGAGGGTCCAAGAACATGCTTCAGCACACTTTACTTTTTGTTAATTCTTTTTAATTAAGTGTTTTAGAAATTGATGTAAACTTGAACAAATCAAGAAAAGTTTCAGACAGTATATATTTTTTCCATAACAGTATAGGGATATGTTGAATTGAAATGTTGAATTTATGCTAGAATAAAAACATTCACAAATTACAATTCATTTGAGCTCTATAACATTCCACTGTGTGAACCTTTACAATCAGCAAATGTTCAGCACATCAATATCTTTGAATGATGATCTAATCAGTGCAGAATCATTGATGATAGTAGTAAAGAAGCATATTTGTTCTACATGGTTGTGTTTATATTATCTTTTGTGTTTTCCTGTGTCTTTTAAAGAGTGTTATTAAAGACTGTTAGTTTAATTATCTCCTTTGTCGAGCACATCATTACAGCCAATATGAGACACTACTATGTCTCTGAACTCGTATATATAAACATACAATACATTTAAAGGCAGAGATGGTTTTGAAGGTTAATAAAGTCACAAAAAATGTAAATGTACCTTTAGAGGGCACCCTATGCAAACTTACTTATCCGCGCCCTCTTTAAAAAGCCTCCACTCTGTTGTTTGTGATTTTGATGCATCAGCTTCCTCTTTTCATAATAGGACAATGGATATGGTGTCTAAATGGGTTTTGTTTTCACTCTTCATGTTCACGAGTCATATGTACTAATTTAATGATGCATTTAGTGAAGCTCTGCTGGTCATTATTTACTTTTGTTGAGAGCAACATGAATGCCCCATACAACAGAAATACAAGGTGATTATTATTATCTTAGGTGCAATTTTGCTATTTGACAATACAGTATGTAGGGTCAAGGTTTGAACCTGAGTCCCCTTAGACAAAGGGCTCTCTCTGTTCCCCTCTGATGGCACACTCTCTCTCTCGTGCGCATGCTCAAACTCTTAAAGGGGACAGCACGCACAACTGCATCATAGTGAAAACTTAAAGGGAGAAATCACCAGTGGAATTAAAAACTGGGCTATTCCTGCTCTGGTTACAAATTAATCAGACATTTTTTTTTCCAAACACACACTAGCTGTCATTCTACATTTCTACTTTGAGGACCCGAAAAGCAACACAATTACTTGTGAATGAAAACAATTGACATTTTTTTGTACAATGTTATAATGAATACAATACTAAATGTTGAATAGTACATTGCAGCAGTGATTCATTGCTTCCACAAGAGGGAGTCCCTAACTTACAGTGAAAACCTGACTTTTTTGTCTGAAAATTTAAATTATAGAGACTAACATATCACAAAAATGTAATCAAAAACTGAGCCAAGACATTAAGATACTTCAAAACACTTGAAGTAAATGTGGTTAAATTGTACTCCATGTGTAATTCCTCAACAGTGCCATTTCAGTAACACCTCCTCACATTTCCACTCACATGTTACTTCAGAACTTTTATACAGCCCAAAAATGTGCCATATGCAAATTCACTCTCCACTTCACCTGTATATAATGTTATCACACAATTCAGCTCAACAATCACTAAACATAACATTTTAATTAAGAATACACCCCTACAGTGAGAAGACTTTTTAACAATGGGGTCGAAAAGCATTTGGCTGTTCATTATTGTAGTGATTTTAACTCAACAAGGTAAGTTTGACTTTTTCTTTTTTTTCTAGCCAAGAGCATTCAATACACTAATGGATGCTCTACATCAATGTAATTTATTTATTTTTATTCCACAGGTATCAGTGGTGATGAAATCCGGTTGGATCAGTCACCTGCTGAGATAAAGAGACCTGGAGAAACAGTGAAGATCTCCTGTAAAATATCTGGTTTTACAATGACAGACTACTTGATGCACTGGATACGACAGAAACCAGGGAAAGCTCTGGAGTGGATTGGGAGAGTTAACTCTGGCAGTAGTTCTAGCTCTAGTTATCTTATTTATGCAGACTCCATGAAAAATCACTTCACGCTGAGTGAGGACGTGTCTCAAAGTACACAGTATCTTGAAGCCAAGAGTCTGAGAGAAGAGGACACTGCTGTTTATTACTGTGCTCGACAGACACAGTGACTCCATCTGATGAAGCAGCTCCACAAGAACTGACAGTAACTGAAGTGAGATGATGTTAATTATTAGCTTGATACATTAATCCACATGTACATTATATCACTGCAAATTTAATCTTGTTTGCAATAAAAATGTGTACATTTTAGCCTTCTGCTTTCAAATTTG